AAAGATTTTCAATTTTTTTGAAAACTTTTATTTCGGCATTCTGTTAGGCAAAATTCTCCCAAAGTAAGTAATTCTTGATCAATAACTACACAATGACCTTCCCTTCTATCCCATATCCATTCCTGCCACCCACCAATCCTCAAATATTTTCTACCTGGGACCCCCCACCAGTGGCCACACCTGGCTGTGACTCAGGTGATTTTCACTATACCTCTTGTCCTCCATTACAATCTCCTTCTCACACTCAGACTCATCTGAGCTCTTTTCCACCTACCCTTTATGTTGTGGAATATTGTTTTAAGGTGTGTAACATTTGTTTATACTGTAGAACATTTGTTTTAATGATCTGAAGATGTGTTGCATTCTCTTATAGAAAGGATATTAAAAGCTGCATGGCAAAAAGACCAAGTAACATATAATAGAGTAAAACCTGACTTCCCAAAGGATAGTAAGTTCGAAGTCTCCACAAATACAAGAAAATTGAAATATCCTGCATCTTATTTGACTACCATCAATTAACGCTGAGTATCAACAACAACAAAAAGTACACAACCTCATAGAAACTGAACTATGGAAAGAAAAATGGGTTAAGACAGAAATCAAGAAGGAAATTAAAAACTTTATATAACTGAATGAAAATTAAAACAGCATAACAAAACTAAAGAGACAACTCTTCCTTCCCGCTCTGCCTGCCTGACCCCTATCGAGGTGAGTGCACCTTCTGCTCTTGCCCAACTCCTGTCCAAAGCCCCATTAACCACGATCTCTCTGGGCCTGTGCCTACTGGAGTGGACCCGCCCAGCCTGAGTCTGGAAACACCTCACCCTTCCTTCCTGATCCACTGGCCTGACCCCTCCCGAGGTGAGTGTACCTTCTGCTCTTGACAGACTCCTGTCCAAAGTCCCATTCACCCGTGCTGGGCCTGTGCCTGCTTGGAATAGACCCTCCCAGCCAGGGAGGAGCTCCCTGAGTCTGGAAACACCTCACTCTTCCTTCCCACTCCGCCAGCCTGACCCCTACCAAGTGAGGAGACTACCAGGAGAGGCAAGACCATCCAGAGCTTTGGACATTGAACTCCTGGCCACACACACTAGCGGGTCACAAGAGGAGATAGAGAGACCACACCTGATCCTACTGGAAGAAGAGCTGGGAAGAAGACATAATACACTCAACATCAGAAAGATCAATATGATAGGGACTCCACACCAGCAAGATCTGAAAAGCCCAACACAGAAGATGAAGAAGAGATGGACCTCAAAAATTATATTGAGAAGATGATAGAGACCTGACTTCAAGCTCTATTATAGAGCCATAGTTCTGAAAACAGCTTGGTATTGGCACAAAAATAGACAGACAGACGAATGGAATTGAATTGAAAACCCTGATATTAACCTATGAACACCTTATTTTTGACAAAGATGCTAAATGTATACAATGGAAAAAAAGATAGCATCTTCAAAAAATGGTGATGGCACAACTGGATTCGGACATGCCGAAGACTGCAGATAGATCCATATCTGTCACCATGCACAAAACTTAAATGCAAATGGATCAAAGATCTCAACATAAACCCAGCTATACTGAATCTTCTAGAAGTGAAAGTGGGAGATACCCTTGAACAAACTGGCACAGGAGAGACAGCTACCTGAACATTATGCCAGTAGCACAGACACTGAGGTCTGCAATTAATAAATGGGACCTCCTGAAACTGAGAAGCTTCTGCAAGGCAAAGGGCACAGTCATTAAGACAAAACGACAGCCCACAGAATGGGAAGTGCTCAAAATCCCTGGCCATCAGAGAAATGCAACTCAAAACAACTCTGAGATAGCATCTTACTCCTGTCAGAATAGCTAAAATCAAAAACACCAATGAGAATGTATGCTGGAGAGGATGTGGAGGAAAAGGAATACTCCTCCATTGCTGGTGGGAGTGCAAACTTCTAAGACCACTTTGGAAATCAGTATGGCGGTTGCTCAGAAAAATGGGAATCAGTCTACCACAAGATCCAGCAATTCCTCTCTTGGGCATATACCCAAATAATGCACATCCATACAATAAGGACATATGTTCAACCATGTTCATAGCAGCATTGTTTGTAATAGCCAGAACCTGTACTCACTCATATATGAATTTTAGACATAGAGCAAAGTATTACCAGCCTATAATCCTCTTCATCAAAGAAACTAGGAAACAAGAAAGACTTTAAGGGAAAAATGCATGGACCCCAGAGAATGGGAAGGGGCAGGAACTCCTGAGCTAATTGGTAGTAGCATCAGAGTAGGGCAGAGGGAGCTGCCAGAATGAGAGGAGGAGAAGAGGAGGGGAGAGGAGGAAATGGGGGAGAAGAACAGAAAAGAGCAGGATGAGAAATACCATATCAGAGGGGGAGCCATTGTAGGAGCGAGGAGAGATCTGGCACTAGGGAGATTTGCAGATATCTACAAAGATGACATGAACTGACAATCTAGGCAATGATGGAGAGGATAACCTAAATACCCTTCCCCTATAATGAGACTGATGACTACTTTTCATGCCATCGTAGAGCCCTCATCCAGTGGCTGGTAGAAGCAGAGGCAGACACCCACAGATATACAGTGAACTGAACACTGGAACCTAGTTGCAGAGAGGGAGAAATGAAGATCAAAGGGGTCGGTACCAGGCTGGTGAGACCCACAGAAACAGCTGGCCTGAATAAGGGGGAGCACATGGACCCCAGACTGCTCTCTGGGAGGCCAGCACAGGTCTGATCCAGACCCCTGAGCGTGGATGTCAATTAGGTGGTCTCTGCACTGTAGGGGGCCTCTGGTAGTGGATTAGTATTTTTCCCTGGTGTAAGAAGGGACTTTAAGAGCCCATCCCATGTGAAGGGATGCACTCTTGGCCTGTACACATGGGTCAGGGCCTAGGCCCAGCCCAGGATCATGTGGTAGACTCTGGGGAGCCACAGTCAAGAGCCCT